TTTCATTAGGAAACTCGATGTGCGAAGGTCGCTTCAAGTCGGGATCTTGTACTATAAGTTTTTTGATGAAACTGTAAATAGATGAATGTGTTGAATGAAAAATGATTCATCTAATTGCATATAAAACGATTCGCATGTATTTGTGGTGTTATTGATCGATGGATTTGCGGTTGCCCACATAATTGGAGGAAAAGCAGCATCGTTTTTCGTGTCTGTTTTCAACAAATAACGGCATGAATTGGTAGCTCGCCGACTTCGTCAGGATTTAAATACGTTTGTCCAAGTATCTGTTGCTAAACATCTACGTATATCGGAATTTTTGTTCCTGGATTCGTCCAACCTAAACTGGTTGGTTGAATGGTAGTGACATCCACTAATTTTTGCTTGTGCCTATTTAGCTTTTGCCGCTGTTTGAATAGTTTAAATTGTCGTTATGTTGTAGAGGAAGCTTGATGGAAAATGGGACTTCCTTTCGAGAATAAAACAATCCTCTTACAAAACCATTAAGACAATAGTCGGACTTGCATCATCCACATTGCTATCTAAGTTGATAATGGATAGTCAAAAACTTATGGAAAATATGGATCAGATCAGAATTAGTCATAAAGAAAAAAAAAGAAAAGAAGAGAATGTTGTCGCCACTTATGAACTTCCTTCTCCCGAGAAAGAGGCACATCAACCAGGAACAAGAATGGAAAGGGGACCGCAATTTTCGGTCTAATCATGGCACATTACTTGTTCAAAATGTAATTGTGCTACTGGATATACTGTGCTGCCTTGAGCAAACTTATGGAAAATATTTGACTCCAATAACCCGTTTGTAATGTCGGTACTAAACACCATATTATTTAAATTATTGTGGAATAACATATTTATAAAAAAAAGTTGATAAAGTTTGTTATCATATAGTCGTCGGTGCAAAAAAACAAGATGCAATTAAATGACATAATTTCATACATCGACCAAAGGTAATTGAAAAAAAAAAAAAACTTCATTAACATGTAGTTTTAAATGGATTCCGACCATGAAAGGTTGAAAGGTTCAGTTTGCGTTATACACTAATTGCCTTTATAAATAAAAAATTGAGTTGTCATTATATAATGCAAAAAAAAACCTTGAAGCTATATATTCAAAACAAAGGCGTGAAAAATCAATCGATCTAAAAAAAATAGAGAAAAATCTCCTAATTTTTGTTTTGTTTTGGGATTTTCGCATTTTGATGCACATTGCGAAATGTTGAGAGCTTTTGTTTTCACATTAGCTGGATAATTTATGTTTACTTATATTTCGCATATCATACGGCAATAGATAATACGATAAACTGATAAAGTAACTGTCCAAAACTGTTTATTTGCACAAACAAATATGCGACTGACTAATCTCCAGCCATTATCAATTTTTAACATTATTTTGTGTTTATTTAAATAATATAAAACGTTGTTTTTTGACCTACCTCAATGGCAAAAATCTTGCATAATTTGAGTGTAGGTATATCAAATCTTCACTTGCTGCGCGATTTCAACTTGTTTGCAAAATAATTTTAGAGCTTGATGAAGCAAATAACGGCGTTTCTCCTCAAAAATCCAGCGCCTGCTATCGAAGTTTTATGAGTAAAAGTTCGACAAACATTTGCGCGCACTACTGAATTCATCAGTCATCACCCCTTATTTTTGAGTAATAATGTTTTCGTTGTCAAATCAATTTTGAGGGGTATAGTTTGAGGAGCTCGAACATTTTAGTAGTTGCCAGTTTTCCCAACCCTTTATACTTAAAGACTAAAAAATATCGGGAGACAACACCTGCTGAAAGTCCAGTTCGCTGTCAAATGTTATAAATTTTGAAATCCGGCGTAAGAAAATTATAACAGTTTGTCTAGCTTCGATCATTTTGGAAAACGAGACTTTGAAAGACAAAATAGATATTTCACCTTTTGATAATGTAGGTACGTTCTGAGTTGAAATACTGTAACGGGTTAACGACATTTTCTCTGAGAAAGGGTGTGTTTCAAAAATTTGCTCAGAGCCAGGTACCTATTTCGATAGATATTGAGAGGTTTAGAATATCCCAACAACAGCCCTCGCTATGGTCTTAAAAGAGCTAGTTTAAGCGTTGATCATTCCAGAAAATAAGATGTCTACTCGCTACAAGAGGAATATCTGAATATTCCAGAAATGTCTTTCAGCGATGAAGCCACCCTTATACAAATGGGGTTATTTGAAGTGAAAAGTGCCCACCACTGATCGTACCTACATACAAAGAGAACCGTAATTCGGATTTTTTTTTAATGATAATGTGGAGTCATAATTGGTCCTTTGTTACAGACAATGTCAATGCAGAAAGGTTCTAAAATTTTCTTTGGAACAAGTTTTGGAACGCAATAGATGATTCATCTCCACAGTATTGTTTCAAAACTTGAGAAAATTCACTTCCTACTCAACAATAGGTTCGTTCCAATCATAAATTTCATCAATTTTTGAGACGTGACAACTTTTTAATAAATTAACAGAAAAATATATACCGTCTTTCCCATTTTTGAAAGCGATTCCTTGTTAATCATCTGCTTTACACAAAAAAAAATATAGAATTTGAGTGTTTTTGTTTTATACAGGGTGATAGGAAGTGCGGTAAAAATACAAAATTTTTGTTGGCACCCCATTTCTATTTAGTTTTATTTTTCTTTTTAGGCATACCCGAATGATTATTATGTTCATTCTTCGGAACATTTTCCGATTATTTTTTATATCTTTTTTTGTTTATAAAATAATGCAAATTTAGTGTTATAATAATGACACTCAGAGCTTCAAACTCATCATGAGCAAGTTTAAGCAGTAACTTTTAGGATCCGTTAGTTGAAATTTACTTGCTATGATCACAATTATTAAAACTAGCTGACGTGAAAAAGCTTTACACAAAACACCAGGGTGTGCGAGTATACTTTGAACTTGAAAGTTCAAGTTTTGCATAATTTTACCATTTACTACAGAAAAGAAAGTGTCAAAGACGGAAAATAAATTTTAACTTACTTTGAACTCTGTATATCACTTCTGCAATGTAATTCCAAAAAACAATTTCGTCGTTTTTGTCATCAATTTTTTCATAATTTGTAAACCTATGAAACAATAATAATTGTCTCTTCAATTTCTTGATATTTGCTGCCGTCAACAGGTCCTAAAATGATAATTATTTTTACTTGTACACAAGTAAAAATTCGTCTAAAATATTATCTATTAAAAATAATTATTATTATTTTAGCACCTGTTGATGGCAGCAAATAACAAGAAATTGAGGAATCAATTGTTTTATAGGTTTGAAAATTATGACGGAACTTTCTGAAAAAATGTATGACAAAAAAAAAAAACTCGAAATGTTTTTTTGGAATTACATTGCACCTTACAAGTGATATACAGCCTTCAATGTAAGTTAAAATTTATTTTCCGTCCTTGAAACTTTCTTTTCTGTAGTAAATAGCAAAATTATGCAAAACTTGAAATTTCAAGTTTAAAGTATCCTCGTACACCCTGTGTGTTTTGTGTGAAGCTTTTTTACATCAGTTAGTTTTAACTGTGATCATAGCCAGTAAACTTAAACTAGCGGATCCTAAAAGTTACTGCTTAAACTTGTTCACGATGGGTTTGAAGCTCTGGGTGTCATTATAATACTTTTGCATTATTTTATAAACAAAAAAAAATATAAGAAAAAATCGAAAAACGTTTCGAAGGATGAACATAATATAATAATCATTCGCATTCGGATATGCCTAGAGAAATAAATGAAAATGGGGTGATACATAAAATTTTGAGCAAATAGGTCTATAACTTCAAAAATTGATGACTGGTAAAATACCAAGAAGAATTGGTGAATTTTCTGTCTTCGTTCTGAAGATTCAATATGGGTTATTCGTTATTCATTATAACATTTTTCGAAATTTAATTGTTAAGCCACCCACTCATCTGTTTATTCACGTAGCAATCTGATGTAAGCCCACTGATTTTCATTTTTATAAGCGCACTTTCTATTTTACCACCTATATAGTCCTCTAGTAATTTATTAATAAACCAACATACAGTACATTTCTCTTTAGGAGGATTTTAAATGCCTGGGTAATATTGAATCGACCTAGTATGAAAATTCTAGAGCTCAAAAGAAAGCTTTACTCCAATGCAAATATTGCTTGCGTATGGTTGCATTTTTGTTTTTGTCGAATAAAATAATTAAGTTTGAATGAGGTAGAAGTATTTTCTCACGTAAGAATATTTTTTCTGGAAACTATAATAATTCTTCGTATAACGCTGTCTTCTAAAGAACCAATGAAAGGAATGATTAACTATTGATTTCCACAAAATATACCTGATATTCATTGGTAGGTACCTACTGACTGGATTTTTGATACGTCTTTGAATTAAGTATTATGATTTTCAACAAATTATTATTTTTAATATCGCATTTTTTTGTTTATGCTTTTATTTTTGATAAGCGAATGTCGATATTCTAAAAAATCACGTTTTTTGCTAAAATCAACCTTTGTATTTTTTTGCGTTCCATTATGATGTTGAGCTAATGACAATAAATGTTTGCCTTTCATTAGCATTATTCAATGGAGCAAGACATTGATAATTCTGAAAAGCCCATTCATAAAATCACTTTATTTGATTTCCAAACTTGCAATATTAGAAAGAGTCACTTAAAAGCGAAATTAATTCAAATTATTTATTAGGAATACATAAAATAGCAAGAATTGGATTATTTTAGGACCGCATAATGGTGTAGATCAAAACGCGTTTTGAATATTATTATGATTAAAAATTATTTTATACTCAAATAATGTGCAAATAAGTTATAGAATTGAAACAAAAATTTAAAAGAATTTGTTGCTGTTGACTTATTTTTGTTGTCCTGATATGCAAACGTGCCTTAACATTTAAAAAAAAAAACACCGTGAATGGTATAAAAAGTAAATATTATCTCTGAAAAGGAAAGAAAACTATAAATTTTATACTCACTTGGCGGCAAAGATTGAGCAAATCCCAAAATAAAGGCACAAAATAAAATTCTCATTTCGACCGGAAACATTTGAGACATAATTAATACAAAATTAAACGATAATAAAAAAAGAAGTTTTGTTAATGTCTCTTTAAGTACGAAGATCGAGACGTTCAACTCACTGAACCCCAGAACCTGAGCACGACCCTTTGAAACCACCAAACTTTAAACCACAACGATTGATGAAGTTTTCCAAAACACATATCGAACTTCAATGAACCACACACGCGTTTCGGACGCTGTTAACCGCCAAAATCAAGTTGAAAGCTGCCAGCCCGCGAGCCAACTGATGTTTGAGCCTGACCGGTTGGGTGCTCGGTTCCAGAGCGTACCACCAGTACCACCACGCCGTACCATTCGAACGCTTAATTCAATCGGAGTGGGTCGGCCGTTCTTCTTTTTTTTTTGCTTGCAGAAATTACGTTAGATACTGGGTGGTCACTATCTGGTTATTTTTGTTTGATGAATCAAATGTAAAAGCCGTTGGAATTTTTGATTATGCCTGTTCTACAATAGCCGTGAAGTAACGGTAATATTACGGACCTAACATAAACTGAACGCATGGGCATTTTACAGTATGTTTTCCAGTCAAATAATATGTCACCCCCGGAAATGTAGGTAACGCAAGAGATGACCAACTCTTACCTAGAACGTAAATTTAATTTTTGAAACTGCCAAAAGTAATAGTTTTCTGAAGAAAATTGAAAGAGTTATCAAAATAAAGGCGATTACTTGTAATTTCAAGCATGTCAAATCTGATTAAACTAATAACAAAAATATTCGTGTTTGAAAAGTAAGGTGGATGAGCAATTGTTACGGTTCCGTTTTTCGACCATTGAAGACATATATAGACATATCAAACGTAAGAAAATTTTAATATCTGTGTGTTCCGTTATACGTTTATTAGGTTTGTGTTATGGCCATTGTAGAACAGGCTTCATGGTATGCTCATCCTGATACGTACGGTTTTACCGACTATACTGATAAAATAATAAATGTTTTAAAGTTACCACTGATGTAGACGAATACAAATCATTCTTCTGCAAAATTCTTAAATTGTAGATTGTGATGGTTGGGGTGTTTAGGTTATGGACCTCTCCGCACTGCGACCTGATTGGATCTATTGTACTTCCCAGTGGGTTCGATTAGGGCTTTTGGCAAAGCCTATAATGTTCCTGGGATTGGCGGCATAGGTCTGATTCTGTTGTGCCCATCTTTTCCAGGTAGTAACCTAGAGGGCAGTGACCCGTGAGGAGGCCAGTAAGCAGCCTTAGATCCGCTTTACGGAGGTCAATAATTTCCAGTGCCTCTATTGACTGGGGCGAGATGAATTGTTTCGCCTGTCTAAGTCCTGGAAGCGTGTTCCAGTGAGAGGTTTGTTGAGCCTTTACTCAATTGGACCAGAGTCCAAGGAATGCTGCTACAGCTCCTTGTCTTGCAAGTTGGTCCGCTATTTTATTCCCCTCGACTCCTTGGTGCCCTGGTACCCATGACAGGGTAACTCTATTGCGAAACGCGCAGTTGTTTTAGGAGTTGTTGGCAGTCCCATACCAGTCTGAACTTAGTGACTCAGAACTCTTAGTGCTGCCCGACTGTCGGAATTGATATAGATCTTCGCTCTTCACAGGTCTTTTTCGAGACACTCTCTAGGGCAAAGTTCTATTGCGAATATATTTCCGCTTGGAATATGGTTGGGCTTTCCTCTAGGGCTGTTGATATTCTACAAAATGGGCCGTATACCCCTGCTCCAGTCCCTTGTTCTGTTTTAGATCCGTCTGTATACTAGATAGATGACCCGTTCGGGAATACAGGTACGATACTTTCTCCTCTGCGGCCCTCAATAATCACTTTGAAGGAGTGTTCAAAATTTGTACCTGTGTTGCATGTGGTCAACTGGTTTTGTCTTCACATTTTATAATGCCCATGTGGCCGATAAAGTCCCCTTGCTTTAGTTTTAGGGACTGCATTATTCTCGAGGCTCCCATGCAGGACAACTTGGTTAGAGTTGCAAAGGACCCCGCAATATTTAAATGGAAATTGGTTACCCGTGATATTTGGATGAAATTTAAATATGTTATTGGGGATGCCGTAAGCAACATTTTTCACCCTGGGCACAATCCTGTATATATGACAGGTGAGGCGTGGTTAGCTGTCAAATATTGGAATCTTATATCCAAAAGCAGAGTAACTATGGCTGATTTTGATGAACAAAAAATCTATTTCTACTAAGTCGACCAAGTTAAGTCGAAAAATGTCAACCATTTTGACACCTGTCAAAACCCTGCCAAACGGCAGCATTCATCTTTTCCAGTTTTCAATATTTTATGATGTCATTTGACATTTTTAACTTGTATGTAAATTCTGAATTCAAAAATTGAAAAAAAAATAAAAATAAATTACAGAACTGTCAGAATGACATCATTGTGGATTTAATTTGTAAGTGTCAAAATGTTTGAGTTAGTATATAAAATCCTTTATACTAAAACTATGTACTTTAAAATGAAAATTGACATCTCTGTCAAAATCTGAAACCTGCGTATAATGTTTTTTCATGCGTTATCATAAATAAGCCCAACATAAATTGAAAAAGAACTAGATTTGATTTTTTTAAAATCAAAGCTATTGACAGATTCTGACAGCTGTCAAAATGTGACGTGCCTGAACTTTGTTCAATGTTTTATCACCAATAAACTACCTTAAAACGAGAAAGAACCAGATTAGAGTATTTTTCTCTACTAAAACAAATGGTTTTGACAGTTCTGTCTTTTTTTTTCAACTTTTGAATTCAGAATTTACATACAAACTAAAAATGTCAGATGACGTCATAAAATATTGAAAACTGGAAAAGATGAGTGCTGCCGTTTGGCAGGGTTTTGACAGGTGTCAAAATGGTTGACATTTTTCGACTTAACTTGGTCGACTTAGTAGAAATAGATTTTTTGTTTATCAAAATCTGCCATAGTTACTCTGCTTTTGGATATAAGATTCCAATATTTGACAGCTAACCACGCCTCACCTGTCATGTATACAGGGTTGTGCCCCTGGTAAAAAATGTTGCTTACGGCATCCCCAATAACATATTTAAATTTCATCCAAATATCACTGGTAACCAATTCCCATTTGAATATTGCGGGGTCCTTTATTAACTAATTTTATTATTCCGTTTAAATTTTTAAATCTTTGATTTAAATTTTACATGCACTATCATTGCCGTTTGCAACTATTAAATCTATTCAAGTTGAATTAAATCTTTAATTTAAATCTTATCCTTATTACCGTTGGCAATCACCTGTTTGCTGAATCTAATTATTTAATTACCTATTATTTATATCGATTTATGTAGGTACCTTTTCAGATATTTTATGGTTACAGTTTTTTGATTTTTCAATTGTAGAACTGAATAAAATTGCCGTTGGTATTTAGTTATGTGCTGTATTTGTTCCTGATTGTTTGATCATCATTCCAATTTGCTTGAAAATGTCAGAAGAAGACAGGGCAACAAATTATGCATTTAAAATTGAAGGTTTGATTGACGCTCGTATTAAAATTTTTGAGGCGCGTTTCACAAATTTTGTTGGCTCATTTTCAGACCCAAATAAAATATATCAACTTCAAGTTCACTTAGATAAGCTACAGTCATTGTGGGCAGAATTTGTCGGGGCGCAAGCGGACCTTGAATTATTTGATACAACAACTGATCATTCAAGCTTTAGAATTGAGTTTGAGGACGAATTTTTCGATTTCTCAGGTACAGCGAAGGGTATAATTGACAAACACTTCACACGATTAAGAAATCAAAATATACCTCAAGCTCCTCAAAATATAGTTCAACAAAGTTCATACAGCAAAAGCTTGTCTAAAATCAAATTGCCAGAATTTTCGGGATCCTATGAATTTTGGCTTCAATTTTCAATCACTTATTCACAGTAATACCCATTTAACTAAAATAAAAAAATTCTGGTATCTGGAATCATCTTTAAAGGGTGATGCTGAGAAACTGCTTAACTCGCTTGAGGTTTCTTCGGCGAATTATGATGTCGCTTGGCAACTACTTTCCGATAGGTATCAGAATAAAAAAGTAATAATTCAAACGCACCTTAAGGCTTTATTTGAAGCTCAAACTATCACTTAGGAATCACACGTTGCATTACAGGCTCTAATGGACAATGCAAATCAACATCTAAGATCACTCGAATCTCTGGGATTGCCAGTAGAGCATTGGGACAGCATCATTATTTTCCACCTACCAAACAAACTGGACACAGTTACAAGACGTGAATGAGAGGATTTCTCAATTCAACTAAAGAAAGACATTCCTTCCATTGACGATTTATTTTCTTTCATTAACAAAAGATGCCAAATTTTGGAAACAATCAATTCTGGAAAATCTATTGCACCTAAAGCCGAAACTAAATTCAGTAATCGAAGTTCATCTTTATTGGTAACCAATCCAAATTGCTTATTGTGCCAATAAGGATCACTTAATTTTTTCTTGCGCTGAATTCCAAAAACTCAGCGCTCAGGATCGATTAAACAAAATCCGTAGGATCAAAGCATGCACAAATGCCTGCGAACAGCTCATAATTCTAAAGATTGCAGAAGCAGCTTTTCTTGCAAAAAATGTGCCACAACACTCTGCTTCATTTGCCTAAGAGACCTACTCCGAATGAACCCTCGTTGAATCAAGCTTTCTCAAATTCATCTCATACATCCAATAGCCAAATTCAAGCCCAAAGTGATAATTCAGAAGATCATGTTCATCAATCCAAGGTTTTATCAGTCACAACTGATATTGCGGCTTCAAGCATAGGTCATTACGTCTTACTTTCCACGGCTAGTGTTTTAGTATAGGATATACATGACAATACTCATTCATGCCGAGCATTACTTGACAATGGCTCTCAACTAAGCCTTATTACAACAGATCTTTTCAACGGGCTTAAACTTCCTGGATCGAGCATTTCTCATTCAGTTGTAGGTTTTGGCAACAGTGTCACAAAGATTTTTAATCATACTAATGTCAATATCAAAATCTGCCATCAATTCTTTGTCTTTAAATCAGTTGAAGATCCCAAAAAATATAAGGTTAGCTGACGAAGGATTCAACATAATCAGTCCAATTGACATGCTTATAGGAAATTCTCATTTTTGGAACTTAATTTGTGTAGGGCAAATTACCTTACCTGCTTGTAATGCCGTTACACAAAAAACCAAATTTGGCTGGATTCTGGCAGGCCTTTTAATTCTTTTTCCAACTCCTCGTTATGCAATTTAGCCATTGACTGCATCGAGACATCCTCATTTCAGAAGCAGTTAGGAAAGTTGTGGCA